TGCCGCGGCCGCTCCCAAAAAGGGGTGGAATGTTCCACTCCGTCTTGTGAAGGATGTGGGTGTGGCGTCCCGGTGCGAGCAGCCTCGGGATTCATCCAGGGAGGGCGGGATCCTTCAGTGACTGCCTCATGGGCCCCACCTACACTCACTGACTTGGCTAGGGCGAGAGAGGATTTACGAACAGCGGATCCGACAACTACATTTGCTCTCCCTGTAGTAGTAAAAACAGAAGGTCCAGCTTGGACCCCTCTGGACTCCAAGGCGATTACTCGCCTTGCGGATTTGGTTAAAAGCAAAGGTCTGTGTTCTCCCGTGACCATGTCGGCAGTAGAAGCTCTTATGGCTTCTAGCCTCCTGCCGTATGATGTGATCAACCTTATGCGTGTCATCCTTGAACCTGTACAATATACCCTGTGGTATGATGAGTGGAATAGGCTGCTTCAGGTTGTGGTGGCCACTGCCACCCATGACCACCGCCATCCAGCGAATGGCCAGGGCCGGAATGACAGGACTAATCTTGCACGTCTGTCTCGCTCCAATTTATAGGAGGGAGAGGAGGTTCTTTTATTATCGATATACCCGGCGTGAGATTAAGAAGCAACGGTTCAAATGTTGGTCCAACCAGTTTATTACAAATCTTAATCAGGGGAATTGGGGAAGGGGAGAACGGACACTATTATGAATTAGGGTAATGGGGGAAGGGAAGGAGGGCAATAGAAAAGATAGGAAAGAAGAAGCAAGGAGTCTTTATAGGAAGCAAGAGGGACATAGTCACCACCATGGATCCAGCGTGGTTCGTACTTCCGTCTTTGATCCTCAGTAGTGGTGGGTCGTCGGGCATTGTTGTTCTATTGACGATGAAGGACGACCATGGTGATGATGGCCCTTTTTCAATGCTTCAAAGTGGTTGAGTCAGCTATTTTTGGAGTGACAGCTCAAATCCAAAGTGGTCGAATCAGCTCTCCTTTGAGTGACAGATCAAACCCAAGGTGGTTGAGTCAGTTCTCCTTGCGGTGGCAGCTTCTGGCTCTGGGATCTCAGCAGGAACCTCCTTTGTTCTTATCTTTCTGGCCTTGCCAGCAGACAAGAGGAAGCAGGGAGGCACCAACTTGCACCTTGCCTCCGCAAGATACAATGGTATCATCCCCCAGCCTTCCATACTTAGCTGGAGCGGTTTGGCCACAGGCCAGATCTTCCGCCAGTGAACACTCCTGAGCACTCTCTTCCGCTCTTCTACAGAGCAAGCAGCTCTGGGGGAAGGGGCTTGCAAATGTTCCCAAAGTGATATCGATTGTCACACAGTTAGCACCCATCAGTTGCCTCCTTGACAAGTCACTCAGAGTCTTATCACAAGAAAAGCCTCAGGAAGCAAGCTTTGAGCCAAAAAAAAAAACTAAGAAGGATTCTCACAACGTCTCCAGGGCCTAGCGGAGGGTATGGTAGGGTCCCCAGAGGGCCAAGCAACAGCACTTAGAGCAGGGGAGTTGGCAGCCCTTACAACCACAGCTCTTCAGGCCTTGCGAACGGTGGCTAGGGTCGCAGAGCCTGTGTTTCCATGGACAGATATCAAACAGGGGCCCTCTGAGTCATTTTCCGACTTTGCGAATCGTTTGATTCGCGCGGTGGAAGGATCCGACCTCCCCAAGGAGGTTCAACCTCTGGTCATCATAGATTGCCTTAAACAAAAATCGCTGCTGGATGTTCAGCAAATTATCAGGGCAGCACCAGGGACCTTGAATACCCCAGGAGAACTCATCAAGTATGTATTAGATCACCAGAAGGTTGCACCTCTAACCAATGAGGGTCTAGTGATGGCCATGCAAGGGATGGCTGCTTCGGTTAGCTCGGCGGTTAGGACAGCGGTGATGGCAGCCGCTCGGGTTGGGGAAGAAAAGGATAGAGGCCCTTGTTTCAAATGTGGACAGTGCGGTCACTTTAAAGCGCAGTGTCCTAAGAGAGTGGGCCAGGGGGGGTTGCAGAGTCAGGAGAAGAGGTGTCAACTGTGTGACGGGCCCGGACACATTGCGCACCAATGTCGAAAGTTCAAGGTTATGCCGCAGGGAAACGGGAGCGGGAGGGTGCCAATGGCCCAGGGCTCCTTCCCATTTCCCTGAACTGGGCCGCGAATGCTACGCCTACAGCTGCATTAGCCATGGACTTAGGTGAGCGACCATTAGCTAAGGTCATGATGACATTCGATTTGGAGCTCCCAGTATCGGGGCCCCGAACGGTGTTTTTTATGGCTTTATTGGACTCTGGTGCGGACATTACTGTTATCGCAGAAAACGATTGGCCTTGGCAGTGGCCGGTGACTCTTACATGGAAGGTGCTTGCTGGGGTGGGGGGTGAGGTACCTACCAAAGTGGCTGACGCAGGAGTGGAGCTTTCGATCATAGGCAGAGATGGCTCTATAGAGAAGACTGTTTTCATTACCCCTACCCTAGCCCAAATTCCAGGATCTATACTGGGCAGAGACATCCTTCTTGAGCTGGGAGTGAAGTTGACAAATTTATAATAAGGGCCACTGTCCATCATTTAGCGCTGCAACACGCAATTCCGTTACGGTGGAAATGGGATGTATCTCCTGTTTGGGTGGATCAGTGGCCCCTTCCAGCTGATAAATTGGCAGCGCTTATACAGCTTGTTTCGCAAGAGCTTATGGCAGGCCATGTAGAACTGTCACTTAGTAATTGGAATACACCCATTTTTGTTATCCGAAAGGCTTCCGGGTCATTTCGGTTGCTGTATGACCTTTGAGCGGTTAATGCACAGCTAATTCCCTTTGGTCCGGTTCAGCAGGGAGGACCTCTACTCTCAGCTATCCCAGAGAAATGGCCCCTGATGGTCATTGACCTTAAAGACTGTTTGTTTTCTATTCCCCTGGCAGAGCAGGACAGACAGGCTTTTGCATTTACGGTCCCAGTTGTGAATAACTGGGGACCCGCCCAAAGGTATCAGTGGAAGATTCTTCCACAAGGTATGACCTGCTCACCCATGATTTGTCAACTCGTAGTGGGCAAGGTCATAGAGCAGGTTAGGCGGTCATTATTGGACTGTCAAATTGCACATTACATGGATGACCTATTGCTTGCTGCACCGACCGATTCTCAGTTGCGGACATTGGAGAAGAATGTAGTTACCGTGCTCACAACTGCTGGGTTTGTTATCTCACAGGAAAAGATTCAAAGAGAACCAGGAATTGAGTTCCTGGGATATAAGTTCGGGTCTGTGACGGTAATCCCAGAGGGATTGGAGATCAAGCCCCATGTTACCACCTTGTGGGACGTTCAAAAATTAGTGGGGGCTATGCAATGGGTAAGAAACGCAGTAGGCATTCCCCCACAGCTCATGAAGCCCTTTTATGACCAATTGAAGGGGTCAAACCCACATGAGGAAAGGGAATGGACCCTGGAGATGAATTCAGCTTGGCAAGAGATACTGACAGCTTGCTCCACAAATGCGCTTGCAAGGTGGAACCCAGATCAGCCACTGGAAGGCGTAGTAACCAGATGCCAACAGGGATCGGCAGCCGTGGTAGGACATACCCTTAGCTCCCGCCCGCGTCCATTGTGTTGGCTGTTCTCTGCCCAGCCGGTGAGGGCGTTTACTCTGTGGTTGGAGCAATTGTCCTCTCTGCTCCAAAAGGCTCGCCTCACCGCGGTAAGGGCCTTTGCAAAGGACCTGGATATTGTGTACCTACCGGAGGCTTTTTGAAATGCTCAGCCTTTGCCGGATGAGATCTCCTTGGCGGTGCATGATTTCAGTGGTAAGCTTAGTTACACTGATGTACTGCCAATTTTCGATCTGGCGAAACCTCTTCAGATATCCCTATGGCACAGAGTGTTGGACACCCCCATAGATGGCCCTACAATATTCACTGATGCCTCTTCGGCGACTGGCCAGGGAGTAGATGTTTGGCAAGTTCCGGGTGGCAAGTGGGAGACTAAGTTGATAGCTGATGGCTCGGTGAGCATTCAGATGCTGGAAGCCAGAGCGGTGGCAGTGGCGTTATGCCTCTGGCCCCAGACTCCCTGTAACATCATTACTGATTCGGCATTCGTAGCTCGGTTGCTGTTACGCATGGGAAAGGAGAGACAGCCGAATACGACAGCTGCAGCTTTGTTGGAGGATGCTTTGGTGGCCAGATCTGCGCCTGTTGCCATCCTCCATGTCCGTAGCCATTCTGATGTTCCAGGGTTTTTCACTACGGGGAATGATATAGCGGATCGTTTAGCGGGGGGCCAAGTATTTACTTTGTGGGAAGCTCGTGACCTTCATTCTGCATTACATATAGGGGCTAGAGCGTTAGCTCGGACTTGCTCCATTCCTGTCACTGTTGCTAGGGAAGTTGTGCAAACTTGCCCGCACTGCAATTCTGCACCAGCGCTCGGGGTGGGGGATTAATCCCCATGGTCTCGCCCCATTGGACATCTGGCAGACAGATTTTACGATGGAACCACAAATGGCCCCACGAGCATGGCTTGCTATAACAATTGATACATCCTCTACCGTCGTCGTTGCTACACAGCATGGGCGCACTAGCTCTGCGGCGGCTCAGCATCATTGGGCCACGGCCATCGCGGTCTTGGGAATGCCGCACCACATAAAAACAGATAATGGCTCTTGCTTTGTTTCACGGTCGTCTAAAGAGTGGCTGGCCCGCTGGAACATCACACATAGTACAGGACCCTTGCTGCCAACGAGAATTACCATGCTAATGTTGTGCCTCTTTTGTCTGTGTTGGTAGCCGGTGGGAGGTACTCACTTGATCCAGCAGCCTGGGAATTTGTGGGTTACTTGGGCTCACCAAACAGGGAGGACGAATTTCTGTCTAAGCATGCAATCGGCCACTTCACCATTCCGCACGTGCCTTATAGGGGTACCTTTGAATTTTTCTACTGATAGGTTGCTATTTTTGGGATACGTAGATAATATAACTGCTTGCGAAAAGTACTTTACTTCAGGTGCTAATATTTCGGCTTGCCTGATCCGCATGCTCAATACATCACTTTCATGGGACCCCCCTGAATTGCTGCTTATGGGATCTCAGAGTGTGGGTAATAATTCAGAGGGATGCATATGTTTTGAACAATTTGCCTTACAAGGATTGCTTTCCCAACATGGGATCGCGCAGGATCTCCTTAAGAGGGGTAGACCTTTGTTGTGGGATTCTAGCCATAATAGAACCATCCCACACATGCTTGTTAACCTGCTGAATGGTGAGGTGCTCAGGTGGTCTGGCCCGTACTGTGGGTACGTGGTAAATCGTACTCGGCAGTGGTATAATTTCAAAACCGCGAATGGGTGGAAAGGTTCCCTGTGTAACAATTGTACATCGCCACAGCAGTGGTGCAATATCACCACGAGTGACTGTTGCTGCAACATCACACAATCTTGGCCGCAGGGAGGGTACGGATACCCCCGCAGGAGACCACAATATAATGTCACCACCTGAAAACTATTGAAAGGTAAATTTGATGATAATGGTCTGGATAGGAGTAATGAGAGAGTTAGTGTTGTCGGAGGTTCAAAGATGTTACCACCAGGGGTGTTCCTGATATGTGGTGACAGGGCTTGGCAGGGTATCCCGAGGATACCGGTGGGGGGACCGTGTTACCTGGGGAAATTAACTATTCTATCACCAAGCATCTCTGAGTGGGTACAATTGGTCAGGGACATGAGTAAAGAGACTCGGAAAAGGCGAAGTATTCACACCCTAGGATCAGACTGCAGTGACGAGGTACACCTTTGGGGACCAACGGCACGAATATTTGCATCCATCCTGGCTCCGGGAGTAGCCGCAGCTCAAGCACTTAAGGACATAGAAAGACTAGCTTGTTGGTCCGTGAAACAGGCCAACATGACTTCTGTGCTCCTAAGCGAACTACTCATGGATGTTGATAGCCTTAGGCATGCTGTGCTCCAGAATAGAGCAGCGATCGACTTCCTACTCCTGGCACAGGGTCATGGATGCAATGACTTTGAAGGGATGTGTTGTTTCAATTTAAGCGATCACAGTGAATCGCTACATAAGAAGTTACAACTGCTAAAGGAACATACGAAAAAGATCGGAATACAGGAAGATCCCTTCGGAAATTGGTTGGAGAATTTGTTTGGTAGGATTGGGCCATGGCTTAAGCAGTTACTTAAAGCATTTGTAATAGGGCTTCTTATATTTTTGGGATTAATGCTGTGTTTGCCATGTATCTTTTGATGTTTGCAAGGTTGTATACAACGAATGACTGAGAAAATGATCTACACGCAATTGGAATATCGTAGAATGCAGGATAAATTCTAAGATATATGTTGTTTAGGTTTAGCACATCGCGTATTGTAACGGGGCAAGGCTCTTCTTGGCATGGGGAGGGGGAGATGTTGTATTAGGCGCTTGCGCCATCTTCGGGTTGTAACGCGTTAGGCCCTCCCCCTTTCCATATATAAGCACGTGTTTGTTCCATTAAAGCGCCATTTTGCTGTTCACCATATTGGTGTCACCTCGGTAATTGGCCAAGCTGCGGTCTCCCAGGGAAAACGAACGGGTGAAGGTTACAACAATGTCCCTTTGGTCATGCTCAGTGGTATTTAGGGTGGTTGAGTGCCCACCTACTTCCCCTTTTTTCACCATCAGCTTCATCACTGAACCCTTTGACGCATTTTCATTCACTTTCCCCAGTTTGGAAGATTTCCATTGCTTATTAGGCCGTAGTGAACCACGTTTTTTAAAAACATTGTATGTGGAACCTGAGGAAAATGTCTTTGCAGGTTTTGAGGCAAAAGATAAAAGTATTCTATTGTGACTGCAGTAATTCTCATGAAGCAAAATCATTGAGCCAGAAGATAAAAGTAATCTATTATGTCCCCAGTGCAAAATTATTGAGGAAAAATAAGACTGTTCACCCACTAAAGCTGAAATGGAAAGTTTTAGAACTATTACTTATGGATTCCTTTTGCTAAACTAACATATTGGTTCTTAAACTAATGTAGTAATTCCTTTTGCTAAGCAAACTAACCTATATCAAAACAAAGTCTTAAATAAATAGAATCAATGTTTAATTTCTGTATGTTTGAAGACCTGTAGCTGCCTTTTCATGTTCTCTGGACTTCTTTGAAAATAAGCTTTTGCAAATCTGAACACATAATTTTCCTTTCCTCCTGTATCCTTCTTTTAGTATTGGCTACAGAGGTAACATAGGCTGGAATTTAAACATGATAGATTGTGTAATGTGATTCAATTTCAAACACCTTATTGAAAACTAATGGAGATAGAGATTCCAAAGTAGTGACAAGCCCAAAATCTAAATATTAATGTAACTTCAGTCTCAGGAATACTTAAAATACTTTACAGTCTAGGTAAGTGCTATTCAACCTTTTCAGTTTTAATACCTTTTGAAAAATACCCAGTGAAGGTCTAGGCTTTTTCAGAAATATGTAGATTGCTAGATGGTGCAAGTACTTGGTTTAGTTAATTTTTTTTCAGCCTTCAGAAGAGGCCACCAATGGAAAATCACTTATTTTAGCTGGAATATTTGAGTTAGAAAAATCTCTGGTCAAAGTGTTTCCCAATGTAAATCCAGTCACTTTAGTTTGCACTAGGCTAATTCAGGTAGTTATTCTGAATCGACTCCATGCTGATAACATTGTGTATGTAAAAATGCTCCTTCAAAAGCACTAGTCTCACACAGCTTTAACTCTTACTTATGATGGAAATGCCTTCAGTGCTTTAAGACTCTGGATTTGTTTAGGGATTTTTTAATTCTTTGTTTAGCTTTGCAGAGCCATCACATCTCAGAGGCACTGAGGTGATGATTTTCCTTATGTTCATCAACAGCACCACTCACTAGCAGTCACTTAAACCCAAGCAAGATTGCAAAAGGTACAGGAAATACACAGGTGTTTTGGAAAGAGTTCTTTTAACATCACAGTTGTAGAAGTACTATGCAAAGTGCAATTTTCCTTGTAAAAGCATTCTAGTATACCTGCTCATATGAGAGGAAAAAGTTCATCTTTATTTCAATGTGTTTTTTTTAATAAAATATTGTTAATTTAAATAGCATTTGGTAGGCTGTCATTTATTTTCCATGAAGTGCTTAAGACTACTGAGGAGAAATTTAATTAAAGAATGTTTATATTAAAGTCAAGACATCCAAAACAGGATGAAACACAAATCTATAACCTTCTGCAGTATTCCTCTCCCTTGGACCTGTCAGAAACATCTGAGATAATTTATAGGAGACAGGATCTCTGGTGAAGAAATTTTAATTGATGATTGCAATGGCAGGCATCCTGCAAGCAGGAGCACACCTATGGCAACAATATTACAGCTTTTGTACCTTGTGTCCTCCAAGCTTACCCCCTCCCCCGTTTTCCCATTGGCTGGGTACTCCAGGTTCACAATCTTAAGCAGTTTTACAATTGTTAATTACATTCTGACACTTATAATTCATAGTTTATCTTGTTGACAGCCAGTCGCCATCCTGCTGTTTCCAAGATGTCTCAGTACTCTTATTGTTGGAAATATCCAAGTAATTTTGTCAGGACGGTATCTCTGATAAAAGCAGAATTTATTCGCGATTGCAATGGCGGGTGTCCCGCAAGCAGGAGCGCGCCTATGGACACAACATGACAGCCTTTATACCCTGTTTTCTCCCTCTTGCCTCCCCCCTCCCCTGTTTCCCCAATGGCTGGGTACTCCAGGTTCACAATCTTATCAGAAGGTTTACATTTGCTATTTACTTGTTAATTTATTTGTTATCTGATGTCAGTCAGCAGCCATCCTGATGTTTCCAAGATGTCTTCGTGTTCTCCTTGTCGTATTGATATGGTGATTTTCTTTAAAGTCATCGTTAAACAAAGAGCACTGGAGGGGATGATGTCAGGCCTTCCGATGTCTCTTCAGGCGCTTCCTCGGGCAGGCCATGGCTTGTTCTCTGGTTTGCTCTCGTGCAGGATATTCTTGCAGTGTGTATGACAAAATATACATATATACACCTATATACAAAGTATGCGTTCCTGGGAAGTTTCGTCTAGAGGATAAGTGATGTAAACTTATCAGAGATAAGGACTCCCAAAAAGAACTGTGATAGTGGAGATCATAAAATAAAAATAATATTATCCAATTCTAATGCAGAAACAACATTTGATTCCCACATTATCATATTGATAAGGCCTCTTCCATTCTGTCCAAAGGACTCTTCCTTTGTTTAACAAAGAGCACGGGGGAGGTGGGGGGGGTGGGGGGGGAGCAGGAGGTCTTCCCGATGCTTCTTCAGGCAGGCATATTTTTACTTCACACAATGTGTATGAGCATGAAATGCTAGCTATACATGTATACTATTTAACTTCTCCTCCTTAAATTTTCAGTCACTCAGGTCTTGTCTGTCCAGCGCCAAAAATTAGTAGTCTTCCAACATAATGAGCCTATTGATATCCTTGTCAAGGGTCACACTATTTAGGGGTGGGATGTCTAACTTGTCTTTAACTCAAGGCTCAGAGGTATTCCAGATGGCTGGACAGACAAGCTGCAGTCTTCAGACCTATAAATTAAGAACATGAAATAAAATTCTTATCTTATTCCTATGCAGAAACAACAACTTATAAACAACAACTTATAATCTTTATGTAGAACATTGATTTCTTTTGTCACTGTTTACAGGTGCTCCTGACCCAACAGCAGGTGCTAGCATAGATGATGAAAACTGCTGGCATTTGGATGAGGAACAGGTCCAAGAACAAGTTAAACTCTTCCTCTCACAGAGTGGATACCATGGATCAGGAAAGCAGCTCAATTTGCTTTTTGCAAAGGTATGTTAAGTATTCTAAACCTTTCTTTTTTTCTCTCCTCTCATTCCTCCAGCCAGGCTGAACTTGTTTGTTAATAATGAGCTGTTTCAGCAGTTGCAATCTGGTGTGTCTTGAGATCAGTTTAAGGATATTAAATAATGTTTCAACCATCTACAGCTTTGCACACCCAAAAATGTTGAAGAAACCTGTAGAAATGAGTCTTGCAGTAGCCTGTATAATACACCTGTGGATTACATATGGAAGAAGTGTGTTTGAAGAATTGCAATGGGATACTGAAATAAAAATCATTGTTAAAATTGGGAAGGCAGACTTCTTTCTACTTAAAAATTTCACTTCATAGACATTAATTGTATTTTTTATTTAACACAGAAATTGAATGTTTAGTACTGCAGCATGTAGTTTGCCCTGTGGTGTTTTCTTTTTTCCATGTTTGTATTAAAAGGCTCATTTCCTAGGTGCGAGAGATGCTAAAGATGAGAGATTCGAATGGAGCTCGCATGTTGACGTTGATAACAGACCAGTTCATGGCTGACCCTCGTCTGTTGCTTTGGAGACAACAAGGAACTGCAATGACTGACAAGTATAGGCAGCTCTGGGATGAACTGGGTAAATGCACAGACTTCAAAATCATCTAAGTCTTCATGTGTATAATGAAAGAACTGTATGTTTGGGAGTGGAGAGAAACTTTATTGTGGTACTAGATAAACCAAGTTAGCCTTCTGCAGCTTTGTTTGTTCAATTAAGTTTAGGTAAAATTGAGTTTCTGATCTACTACATGAGACAATTGCAGTTGATGGAGAGGAAGCTTGGTATGAAACAAATACAGTTGCAACAGGTTGTAAATATCCTGAGGATCTAAAAAGAGTAAAGCAAAAAGTAAAAATGTACACAACTGAGGGTAAATATATAAGCCATGGTACTAAAATTGAAAGTTTAAGGAAGAAATCATTTTGCAAGTGGAGAGAAATAGAAGGAAAAAAAGAGGAGATTCATTAAGACTATGAGAAAATTGCAACAAAGGAAAACAGAAGTCCATTATATAGCAGAGACTTTCACCCATAACATCCTTGTTGGTAAGTTTAGGAAGTGTGTGATAGATGAGTGGACAGAGAGGTGGATTGAGTACTGGATGACTGGAAGAGCTCAGAGGGTCATTATCAGCAGTGCAGAGTCTACTTCGAGGCCTGTAGCTAGCTATACTTCTCATGCTAGGAGAATATAGATGTGACTTCAGTGATGCGCTGATTAACACTTTCAACTTGTCAGAGTAATATGTGAATGCACTTTCCAGAGTTTAGAGATGAACTGGTATTCTTCATGTTGTTGCTGTTTAAATGGTAAATTTCACATGCTGATCTTCAGGTGTTTAACTCTCAGCAACAATGGTTGAAGACTTTATTCTACTGGAATGATTACTTATCTGAAGCTCCTTGGTTTGCCTTTTTAAATTGCATTGATAAAATGGAGGAATATGGAAATGCACAGTAAATATCTGCTGATGCATGCTGAACTGAAATCTCTGATTTCAAGGAAAGGCCAGTTAACCTTTGAACTTCAGGGGGAAAAAACAGTCCATGCAATCTTACTACAGCAGTAATTCTTAATATTCATTCATCAAAATTAAGTAAAAGTTGCTTGTGGTCTATAAAAGTGAAAAGATTTATTTAATCTAAGGGGAAATTTTGACTTTGTGACCCAGCACAGGGATCATGATGGCTGTAAGGCTCTGCTTTGGAATTAAACGTTGAGCACTGTGAGATGCCAGAGATTGAGATGAGACTGTTTTGTCAACAAATGGAATCTGCAAGTTTATTGGTGTCTTTTTGCAAGCTTCTGGCTGTGAAATCAAATTGGAAGCACTTTAGCCACATGGATAATACAGGACCTGAATACAAATGTCACATACCACCATCAAGGTCCACTGGGAAAAAATAGTGTTCCCACTGGAACACTGCATCAATACGGATCATTTAAATACGGGAATTACATTTAAACAAAAAGCCCTGTTTGCCTTATACTGCAATTTTAATGCCTTCTTAGCAAAAGCTAAGTGATAAATTAAAATTAAAATGTGCCCATATTTTTAAAGCTGTAATGCAAAATAACCTTTTATTGCTTCTCACGTGCCACAAATGAATCATCATACTTGTAAACCCTAAACCAAGCCATAATTGGAGCAGCTACTGTTATCAAAACAAGGCTGCTCATGTGACAGCTTGATAAAGCTGAAACTGTTAAATTAAATCCCAGATGTTTGATCTGATGATAGCATTCAAGTAGAATAATCTAAGACACAAGTATCTACTGCTTGGTGGAGTGATGAAGCCCAAAAATTTGTCAACATGTAGATTACAGAATCAGATTTTTTTGTACCATTTTCAGTATCTTTATATCTTTCCTGTCTTTGCTTTGAATAAGCTTCACATAATTTACATGATTCAAACCAAACATTTCTAGGGAACTTTTTCTTAAGTCAAGGATTATCTTTATATGGAACAAAAATGATGACTGTGTCATGGGGAAAAGGGTATATCCAGAGAGCTCTTGCAAGGCAGGGCCATGAATAATTGGCAAATATATTCTGGGATTTTGTCCTACTGATCCTGATCTCTGTTGGTTTTTGTATTTCACAAAGTTGAGGAGAACTTAGGAGGAATTCTGTACATCTAGCTGGGAACTCTCTACACTTCAGTGCATAAACTTTTACTGTCTATCTCATCTGTTTGTTGATATCGAAAGTTTTTAAGCGTAGGAACTTCTCACCATTATTGTCATGAACTTTGTGGCATAAATTTTTTCTGGACAACCTTTTTATCACCCTTTCTGTTATGCATACTAAATTCATTGTTCTCCTAAAGGTATTTCCTGAGGAAAATTACATGTCTTTGCCTTAGTTATAGTACACATAGTCTCAGCAGTTTTTCACCAGCACTTAGACCTAATGTGGGCTGCTTTTTAAATGCTATAACATCCTGGTGGTTTACTTTGAGTTCGTATTTATTGATGTTTTGGTCATTTTCTGGATTAGTGATGTATTTTTGTGTGAAAATTTAAAACTTTAAAATATCTTACAAGATAACATAATGTAGAGAAATAGTACAATATACTTCCAGAAGGATCGTGCTTAATTTTTTTATTAGCAACACTTTGCTTCTCATTTAAAACTGAATTCTGTATATTAAATTTAGGCAAAGAATCATTATAGACTGAGAGATTTAATTACTGTTGTCACAAGCAAACTAAAAAAGTGTTAAAGCTTGTTTTGAAAACTGCTCTGAATTTTTCTGATACAAGTTTATATTCATCTCTAGAAAAAATACCAAGTTAGACTCTTTTAACCTTAACAAAATGAAGCTATTCTCCATCTAAAATTCTTTTCTTTACATTTAGAGAGACAAACTTGTATGAATGGGACATACCAGCTGTTATAAACAGATTATTATCCCTTTTTAGTACTTCAGGGAAGGAAAAAAGGACAAAAGCAGGTTGGTGCCAATATGCCCCTAGAGAAAATCCTTCCTGATGCCAGATCTGGAGGCTACTTTAGGACTACCATCAAAAATGAATGCAATTCTTACAGTTTTTGTGCTGACGTGCGGAATCAAACTCTGTAACCCAAGTAAGATTACAAGGCAGGTATGGTTTACTCAGTGCTGCGCATATACCTGGTGCAAGGGGATAGATCCACCTAACTTGCACAACATAGGGCAAAAGCTTGGTACAGATATAGGCCGAACTAATACATAATCAAATGATTTTCCCGGAATTCGTATCCATATTCACTACATTTCCAAGAACCCATCAGCATATGGTCTCTCCCTCTTGCACATGTGCTGTAGGCAGTGGGGGTCTCCTTCTGGTGGTCGTGGGATGAAGGCTCATTGTCTTCAACAGAAGTAATCCCATCCTGACCTGTTCCTTGTGTACTGTTTTGTCAAGTTTACAATAGAGTTTTGAGATGTTCTTTTCTTATCTGGCCTCACATCCTGCTTACCTGCATTCCTATACAGTGCTTAACCCTTACCTTGTCGTCTCCTTACTCACATTCCTATACAATGGTTATCCTTAGTTTGTCCTCTCCTAACTCAGTGCTCTAACATCATTTTTCTGGAGCTACATACTTTGTGCAATAGCTTTTTAGTATCAGAAGAAATACATGCTTTTCCCCATATTTTGTGGTATTTTCAAATGAGTAATGGCAAGACTGTGATTTTCAGTTTTGAGTGCTAGGTGTTGTCATGGTTTTATGTTTTTTGGTTTTCAGTATTCCGCATCATAATATCATGTAGTGCACTGGGAGTTAAAGTGTTAATGCTCCAATTCCAGGTACCTATCCCTATAAATTACGGAAGTCATGGGATCTGGCCCTTCCAGGTGGGGCGGTCTCTTACTGCCTGGCAGTAAGAAATTGAGACTAATAAATCAAATAAAATAGGTGTGAGAGAGAGTTCCTGAGACCGAGTCAAACCTGAAAAGCTTGGACCGGCTAGGAAAGCACCCTCCAGCACCCACTGCAAGGCAGTAAGAGACCACTCCACCCGGAAGGGCCAGATCCAATGACTTCTGCAACCCACAGAATTGGACCATTAACTGTTTAACTCCCAGTGCACTACATGATGTATTGATGTGGAATACCAAAGACCAAAAATCACAAAACCATGACAGAACCAAATTTACTTTCAATTTTTTTCTCACTTTTATTTTTAATGGCTATATAACATTAAGCTGTTGTTTAATTTTCTGTTAAAACTTCTAGTAAATGCCAAACCTAGATAGTAGTGATTTATCTAAGGAGTAGAGTTACTGAATACTTGCTAATTTCTCTGAGCTTTACTGCAGTCCAGCAATCTATGATATTTTCCAGTTTTCTCTGTTGAATAGATATTGGTATTGGAAATATCCAAATAATTTATCAGGACGGTCTCTCTGATAAAAGCAGATTTTATTCATGATTGCAATGGCGGGTGTCCCACAAGCAGGAACGCTCCTGCAGAGACAGTGTTACATCTTTTATGCCCTATTACCCTATGCTTATCTTTTCCTCCCCTGGTTCCTCATTGGCTGAGTACTTCAGGTTCACAAATCTTCCCGATGCTTAACTAAAACATGTGGATGCTGGCTAAACATAAATTGTTGCTATCTCAACAAGTATATTGCTAGATATTTTACTTCTCCTTAAATTCTCTCACTCAGGTCTCATCTGTTCAGCACCAAAAATTAGTAGTCTTCCAACATAACGAGCCTATTGATATCCTTGTCACACTGTTTAGGAGTGGGATGTCTAATTTGTCTTTAACTCAAGGCTCAGAGGTATTCCAGATGGCTGGACAGACAAGAGCTGCAGTCTTTGTACCTATGAATTACTCCATCTAACTAAACTCCATGGCTATAAATTACTTCACCTATCTGCTGAGCATGCAAAGACTATCAGAGACCTCTGATGAAGTAAAAAGACCTCCCCAAAAAGAACTATTAGTAAAATATTTATCTTGTTAGTTCTAATGCAGAAACAACATTCCATTCCTACACTGGGAAAATAACTGAAAGATTGGAAAAGTAATTTAAATGAGAAATGCAAGAGTTTTAGTTGTCTTGGGCCTGTCAAA